ATCAATAGGAGGAATAAATGGTGATGGAAAAAATAAAATAAAGAAAAAACAAAACCAAAAAGATAAAAATTAAAAATAAAATTGCTTCTTTCATATAACAATATACATGGAAATCTTGTTTAGATCGGTATGTATAGCTCTATCTCCTGCTTTTTAATAACTACATGTAGATATGCCATAACTTACTCCACATCTCTCATATTGATGAATGTTTATTTTATTTTCATATTTTTGCTATTACAAATAATGCTGAACAAAAATTATCATATATACATATATGTATATCTTTATTTCTATGCTATTATTGCTACAATATAGACTCCTAGAATGACTGCTGACTCACAGGGTTTCATTAGTTGCAAAATATACTTAAAATATCCAAGAAATTCTACTAAAATCTTTATGCTTGAATACAAAATAAATATTGAAAAATCAATAGTTTTACTTTCTAGTAATAATTCTTAGGTAAATGTTGAAATGTAAAAATAATTCCATTCATGAGACCTGTACGAAAATTTACTGAAGGACATAAAATAAGACTTGAATAAAAGAAAAGATATGCCATGGTCCTGGATGGGCAGACTTGCTATTTCAATGCGATCTTAACCAGAATTTTAAGTTAAATATGAAACAAAAAATTAATTAAAAAACCTAATTTGGAAGAGTATACATCTAACCTTGAAAATGTCCTTATTTATTTAAGGACTTTTGTTAAAAGAGCAATTTTAGTTTTACAATAAAACTGAGAGGAAGGTACAGAGATTTCCCATGTACCCCTTATCCTCACACATACATAGACTCTTCCATTATCAACACCACTCACCAGATGGTACACTTTTTTTTTTTACCAAGGATGAATATACATCGACCCATCATAATCACCCAAAGACGGTAAGTTCACTTTCGCAGCTGTACATTCAATAGGTTTGGACAAATGCACAGTCACATATATCCATCCCTATAGTATCATACAGAGTATTTTCACTGCCTTAAAAATCCTCTATGCTCTGCCTGTTCATCTCTCTACTTCCCCCACCCCTCTCAAGCACTGATATTGTTATTGTTTTAATAGTTTCACCTTTTCTAGAATGTCATATAATTGCAACCATAAAGTTATGTAGCCTTTTCAGATTTGCTTCTTTCACTTTATAATATGCATTTAGGGTCCATCCACGTTGTTTCATAGCTCGATTCTCATTTCTCTTCGTTGCTGAATAATATTTTATTTCTGGAGGTACCAGAGTTTATTTACCCATTCACCTCTGAAGGACATCTTGGTTGCTTCCAAGTTTTGGTAATTATGAATAAAGCTGCTACAGACATTGTGTGCAGGTTTTTTTGTGGACATAAAGGTAAATACTAAGAAGTAATATTGCTGGATCATATGGTAAGGGTATACTTAGTTTTGTAAGAAAAATTTAAGAATAGAAAATTCCAAAATTGGCCCCAAACTGTATTTATATTTCTCCAATTTATGTAAGAATATAAAACATTACTAATAATTACAGAAATGAATATTGAAACTAGATATAAATTTTTACTGATCAGATTAGCTAAAAATTTATTTCATCTAATATCATTCAGGATATGGGGGACTAGCCACTTCTTATGTCAGTGAGAGAAAGTGATATGACTCTGAATGTATTTTTGCAATAGCTCTTAAAGTAATAAATAGGCAGTTTAAAAGCACAAACTATATATAATCTTATACAGGGAGTTGGGGGGTACTTAAAACATATACATATACTATATACTATTAAAATACAAGCATCCAAAATCATTTACATCATTAACTTGACACAGGTTTAAAGTATTTATTTTTTCCAAGATCTGTTTTACTCACCTTTAGTTTGGTAGTCCCTATCTTAGCTCCAAAATGCAGGAGCTCTGTCTTTTTTTGTAGTTCATCGCCTAATTCCATGGGAAGCTCCCTAGGTCCCTGAGTAAAGCAGATTCTTTTCTGTTTAGATCCAAGATCCACAGCATTCTCTTCAGTTCAAAACTGTACTCTTAAAAGTCATCAGAAAAACCCTTTCTAAACTGGAGTTTCTTAATCAACTTATTGAAATTGTTCTTCTTTTTCTCTATACAGCTTTTGAACTTAGTTTTTGATCTTTTAACAATTATTTATTAACTGCTCAAGTAATGCATCTCTGTTGTAAAAAAAATCAGAAAAAAAACCCCAAAACATTTAATTACATACAAACTGACCACCCAGGATAACAGAGTACTTTGATATATGCTTTTCAGACTTTTTGTTCATATATGTTTCTGTAGGATGGTTTTTTACAAAAATAGTATTATATTATACATTTTAATGTTTTGCTGATTTTACTCAGCTATTTGTGTTGAAGACCTTCATGTTTCAGTAAATATACATCTATGCAATTATTCTTGATTTAGTCTTTAATCTTGATCAACATGTTTAGATTTAATCTCAGAGCTGGAAGGATAATGTCATTTATTCTGCTCATCTTATAGGTTAGGAAGGAAACCAGGAGGAATGCAATGGCTTCTTTAGTGCCGTGTGATTCCTGGAAAAGCCAGAACCCAAACTCACGATGTCTAGTACCTCCTCAGCTTTCCTTCCACAATTTTATTACAGAATCATCCTCAATGCTACCAACTCTGTTCTCCTTTTTTTGATGAAGCTCCCATATTGTATAACTCTTTTCCACACAGGATGTCAACCTCCGTTTGAGCTCACACTGTCTCCTGGCTCAAGGAGTTATTTCTTCCACGTCTACCTATGGTCTAAATTTTCTTTTCTTGTATACTGACAATTAGCATCTCTACAACTTCACTTCCTTTCCTTGAGCTCCTGCCAATCTGAAAGTACTCTCAAATCTTTAATGACTCAGGATGAGCCCAAGGAGGGGTCTTTCCCATGGACAAATATGATTTTGACCAAAAGGAAATGAAGGGAGAACATGTTCTTAGATCCCACATGTACTGCTATGAAGATGGTAGGTGCTGGCATACACAATTGCACTGAGGGGTGCTGTTAACTGAGCATAACTGGCCTTCACAACTGTCACTCTTATGCTCCTGTCTCTCAGGAGACTGTGGCCCTCCTGAGAAACCAGCTCATGGCTGTTTTGAAGGAAGAGATTTCAACTCAGGATCTACCATTACTTATTACTGTGAAAAGTGGTAAGTATGCAGCCTTTAGAATATGAGACCTTGCCCGCTAATAGCATTGCTTTTGAGAATGACCTAGTCTGTCCCAAATTAGTCCTCTGATTTCCTTCTGCTCAGGATTCTGAGCTCATTCTAATTTTGAGAGCTGCCTTAGCTCACTTCCAGCTCCACCCAAACCCTAGGAGATGGACTAATCCTCCTATTTATCCTAATTAAAGTATCACTTTTTATCTTTTAGGTAAGACAAAATAAGATATTATAAATGTATATTTTTCTAAAGAACCTCAGAACAAAAAACTCAAAGAAATACAGAACATATGGAAACTACAGAAATAGAACAATTTAGAGTATAGATCCTTAATATCCTAATGAAAGTCTAACCTTAATTTAGAGTGCCTGGTCACCCACCTTATACATCGCTTAGCTTTTTATTTCTCTTGTCTCATTCTTACTAACAGGGTTATATGCCTCAGGGATATGAGCATTTTGATCATCTCATTATATATACCTCCAACAAGCTTTGCAGTCAACTCTCATGTTTTTCTGATTAAAAGCTGCAGCTCCTTTTTAGCCGGATCACTAAGATGTATTTGAAGGCTGTCCCTAGCTTTCTACTCCTTGTTAGAACACAGAAGAAAGGTGCTTTTTAAAAGTTCTTCCCTCACCCTCCCAACCCAAAAACTGTATGCGTAAACACACTTACTCAGAATTTCTCACTTCTCCATGTTTTATGGGTTGACTCATCAGTTGGGGCCTCTCCGCACCCCAGGAGAGAGGTTTTACTTTATTACTACTTTGTAATACTGAGATAACTTAAGCACGCCTTATGGATCAGGGGCAGAGAGGTGGGTTCTATCACAAAAAGAAATACCAAAGTGCGACAACACAAAACCGGCCTTAGCTGCCCAGTTCAGAAGGTGGAAAGACTAAACGTTGTTGCTATTCTCATCTCTGTTCAGGTACCAGCTGGTGGGCCCGCAGGAGCGGCAGTGCATCGATGGGGAGTGGAACAGCACACTTCCCGCCTGTGAATTGATCCAAGAAGCCCCCAAATCAGCTCTGCAGACTGCGTCTGAGGAGGCGCTGGTAAGTAGCAGGCTCTCGTCTGTCCCATCCATAGCTGTATCTCCAGGCCTGGCATTGCTCCTGGTAGGTACATGCTTAGTAAATATCTGTTCAATTTGGGACAGTTGTGAATGGGTTGGCCTTGGCCTGGTTGTAGACTGGGGCTCATAAGCTATTATCTTACATTTTTATATATGATAGTTCCCATTTGCCACCGTGATCACTAATCCCTCATTGGGTGCTGTTGGTAGAAGTCATCTCGTGCTTTATAGAGCAAGGTACATGAACTCATGTCTTAGACTTGGAAGGATTACTGTGAAAAGACTCTAAAATTCTTCTAGACTCTAAAATATAGTGAACAGATCAATTTCCATTGAGACTTCTCTTTTAGTTTATATTTAGTCCTGGGATAATAATAAATATATTTAAGCATCATGTTTAAGACCCAGATCCCTACTGAAGTTAGCCTGGTCCATTCATGGACCTAAGCACTACTCGTGATCTTCAGAACATCAAGCTGGCTCTCAGTTCTTAAGTTGTAATTTACAAAAATTTTTCTTTCTTCAGCTTGCCTTTCAAGAGAGTAAGGAACCTTGCAAAGCCGTAAAGAACTTTGTGGAAAGATTAAACGAAAATGGTTTAACAATGGAGGAACTAAAGTATTTTCTGGAAATAAAGAAAGCTGAGTTGAAGGTAAAAATGTTGCCAAGACATTGTAGCTGAGCTGACTGGATAATGGAAATACACCTATGAATAAATTTTCCCCTTGGTTCTGAAATTGGTTTCAGGTTTTTCTCTCATTGGACTGAAAGTAACTTCATAGTAATCAACTGCAGTTGTATAATGTACTGTGTGTTTGTGTGCTTGCACATGTGTGCGTTTTGAATGTGGAAAAACCAAGTGTGGTGGTTATCTGTTTAAGACTAGAATTAGCAATAAATTAATGGGGAGTGAAGGGTTTGATTTCCTGTCTGTAAGGAAAATTGAAAGCCCAGATCATAGCTAAGAGTGTGACTCATATTAATATGAGACAGGAAAGATGAGGCAAAAATAAACCAAGTTAATCAAAACTTATGAGGTAAAAAGTAACCTTTTATTTTGGGAAATGGGCTCAGAACAACTATATCTTAAAATGGCCCATTGAGAAATAAGTAGAATTGGGACCCAGACTCTCTCTTGGGTCTCCCTATATCTTGTTTAAGAAACCAGGTTTCCAAATCTTCTGCAGTAATATTGCTCACCTGCCTTTTGAAAAAAACCCCGCCTGTGTGGTAAATTTGAGAGGGTGCACCACAAGTGAATATATATATATATATATATATATATATATATTTGTTTTGTTTTTTTTTTCTTTTTTTGAGGACAGAGGACACAAAAATCCCAAGGTTTTCCTGTCAAGATGTCACACTGAGCTATCACAAGCTTCTTCCATCTTGCTTGCATTCTACCTTCTACTTAAAACACATATGACATCCGGGTAAAATACAAACAAAATACATAAGAGAGCTTGAAATAACGGAAAATCTCTAAGTGAAGTTGTGAAAAACAACACTAGATGTGCTCTCAAGCAGCCCACAGTCTGTTAATAGACACAAGACATGGATATACATGTCATTAATTCAGGATGGTTAGAATGAAATAAGCTCATTTCACAGAACAGTGTGCTCTGGAGCTCAGATGCGAGGGGGTGACTTTATCTGGGAAGAGGAAGAGGCAGGAAAATTGCCAAGGAAGAAGTCATAGCAAGTTGAGCCTTTAAAAATGAGTTAGAAACAAAGACTGGGGAGGAGTCATTCCAAGTGGAAAGATAATCTGAGAAATGTAATAAGAAAGTCATGAGCTTTTTTAACCAAGTAAGTCCACTACTAGAATTAATCTAATGGGAGCAAAATGATTTTTAATTTGAAGCCATTCATTATGTTATTGCCCATATTGTCTGCTCTAGCAAGACTTTGTGAGCTTTTGAAATGCTCAACCTTAGGAAAATTTTAAATAAATTATGGTACCATCAAATGCAATGCAACATTTTACACTGATGATTATGATCAGAAAAATCTTAAAAATATAATCTTAAGTAAAAGTAAAATACAGGATAACAAGTACTTATGATGGAATTTATTAAAACTTATTCTTGTAGAAAGAGACCAGGCAATAATAGGCACTGATGAAAACAGTTGTCTTAGATGATGACATTGCAAGTGTTTATTCTTTTAAACTTTTAGAATGTTTTAAATAATAATTTTTAAGAGATGCCATGAAGAGGCAGGAAAGATGGGGCCTGTTTGGGGACTAGCACATTGTTTGAATTGGCCTGGATAAAACATGGGAAGTGATGAGAGAAAAGGTTGGAAAGATCCATTACAGTGAGTTTACAGAGGGTTTTAAAGGGTATGTTAGAGATTCTAAGCTTCAGTGAGAAAAGGTAGTGAGAACAGATGGAAGACTTTCCAGCAAGGAAATGGGGACAGAACATAGACGATCTCTCTCACAACAGTAGGTAGTAGAGGTGGAAGTAGGAAAAGAACTGAGACGGAGAATCTACTGTCATCGTTCCCCACGAGAGACAATGATGACCCGAAAGGGTTTGATGGCAATAGAAACAGAAAACAGTAGACAAGAGAGACATTACAAAATCCAATAAAAACAACATGTCAACTGGTTGAACATTGGAGGGTGAGGGAGAGGAAGGATCTGAAGGTGAGTCTGAAATTGTATTCTTGGAAACCTAGATTTATGGTGGGGTCAGAAGTGAGACTCCTGGGCAGGAAATGAGAAGTTCCCCTTTGGGCGTGTTGAGTATAAGGTACTTGTAAGATGTCAAATGGGCGACAAAAACCGTATAGTCAGTCCTCCAATAGGGAATAGTTAAAGTCATGAGAGCAGGTAAGATAATTAAAGATATGAAAAAAAAAATTTTTTAAAGAAGAACCTGGGATGTATCTATATTTAGAGATGAGAAGGAAGTGGGGGTAACAATAACTAACAGAGCAATTAGTAAGACTGGGAAATCAGGAAAGTTTCGGTTAATGAAAGACAAGGGAGGAGAGAGCTTCAGGAAGGGGGTGATCGGCAGTGTTCCAAGCTGCTGAGAAATCATAAGAGATGAATTAAAGAAATTTTTAATTTGGAGACAAGGGCATGCCTCAAAGAGGTCTTTCTGGTGGGGAAAAGCCAGATGGGAAGGCCACAAAAGCCGGGGTGTGAAGTGATTAATGAGAAAGAGAAGGGAGGAGACAACATAGGAGCCTTTTTTGAGAAGTTCAGCATCTCACAGCAGAAGGAAAATAGAATTTGAGGTTTCATCAAGATTAAGGGAATGTTTTAGCATGAAAGACACATTGAAAATAAGGAAGGCCCTGGCCATTAGCTCAGCTGGTTAGAGCGTTGTCTTGATATGCCAAGGTTTCGAGTTCAATCTCTGGTCAGGACACATACAAGAAGCAACCAATGAATGCATAAATGGGTGGAACAACAAATAGATCTCTCTCTCTCCAATCAAGAAAATAAAAAAAGAACAAACAAATATCTTCCAAAATAGGAGAGAAAACTTGAGGTGGGGATAAGCTACTGTAGAATGATTATTTTTTAGTGAAGTAGGAGGCAAGGGCATCTGTTGAGAATAAGACAATTTAGTGACCTGGAGAGAAAATTCTGAAATAGTCTCTCTGGAAATTAAAGAACTCCAATAGATTGAAAAATGGTGTTTTAAAGACTCAACTTTAAGGTGGTCTTTCCTCTAACTTAAGTCTCAAAACTGCACAATCTGGAGTCTGCCTTTTATGTTCATTTTTGTCAAATCATCAAATCAATTTCACCTTTGTGACTTGGCCCATGTTCTTTTTACCTCTAATAGCTTCCTCATTTTAATATAATAATTTTCACTTTTCATTCAAAGCTCAACCCAAATCTCATATCTTCTGTCAAAACTTCTGCTGTGATTCAACTCCTTCTTTTCTGAAATCTTTATGAGACTTTTGGTGTTTATTACAGAAAAAGCAAAGTTGTCAGGAAAAATTGCTCTTTATAGCAATCTCCTGATCATGCAAACCTTAATCTTAAGAGTTAATAGCTTAATTGGATAACATCAGGGTTTGGGATCCTTCTTAGATCTATGTGGCTGGCCATTCATTGCATTCTTCTGACCAGCACTCAATGATAGACTAACTTCTGGGGTGCCCAGCACTTAGTAGTAGTGGTGGTGATAGTAGTCAACATTTACTGAGTACTAATATTGTTGCAGGCAACTTGGCACACATCAGGAACTCAGTAAATGTATTAAACTCCCCACCTTTTGTACTTTCTTAAGGTGGGTTGGAGACCAGCACAGGGCAAGATCATCCATAGGTCACTGAGCCCCCAGGAAAGCCTGCCGGACCTAGCATCATGGAAAGTGGATCATGTTCGTGAACTTCGTATGAACCTTGTTGTAGCCAAGGTTTCCAGGCCATCTAGATTGCATCTTTCATAACCTCTTGTGTTTATGAGAAGAAGTAAAAAAAATTTCTGGCATCAAACTCATATTACATTTTCATTTAGGGGAAATGGTTGGCAAGGAGAAAAATGATTGCGACATGTTATCAAGAATGAGGGCTAGTGAAGAGGAGGGAGATTAGGTAAACACTGGGGCTGTATTTCTGCTGTTAATCATTCACTGGTCCAATAGAGAGTCTGCTCATATACTTCTATTCAGCCTTCCAACCACATGGTTGGAATTTTGAGGGTTTTTTTGGTGGAGCAATTAGTAGGCAGCTTCAGGGTTTTCTGGTAAACTCTTATCTGGAGATAGGACTATTAGAAATCAAGGCACTTTTCTTCCTCGAGAAACTACCCAAGACACCACGATAAAGTCTTCCACTTCTTCCCCAGCTACTTGCAGGTGAGTGGATTAGGTGGGATACCTTGGGGGAAAGGTGGGTGGTTTGGCCTATTGAGGAGTGCAAGGTTAGAAGGGTAAGACAAAGACAAACATTTGGGGGTGTTTCAGTAGAAATCTTCTCAGGAGTACTGCATTAGGGTATAGCATGACTTGAAGAGTACTTTTAATCCCTTATGAGCCACAATTTTTAATTACAAATGGGGGGATAATATTACGTATTCAAAATAAACTGGAGTAGAAAAGAAGTAAGATGTTGCTCTTGTTATTGTATCTTAAAGTTGACTGTGCTTTTTTTTTTTTCTTTTTACCATCCGTGTAGGAGAGTGGAAGCAGGAGGTAAGCCAGACTTCCCAAAAGAGTTCAAAGAAGACCTGGTTTTCATAGTCTACATTCTGAAAATTAATGCAATTTCCTTTGGAGATTTTATTAACCCCGCTAGATCTCCTTCACCATGGGCAGTAAAGACCTTTACATTTGATTTCAAGGAGGATATTGGTCAGGATCCAGTTAGTTCCTGAATCTAGAAGCCTTAGTCATCCACACCGTCTTTCTCTCCTCACTTTTTGAATGTTGATAACCATTTCTTCTTGAAGGTCTCTTCCTGGTTGGGCAGGACATAGCACTGTTCTGGTTCTCATTTAATCCTTCGGCTGCTCCTGTTTTGTTGCTCTCTGTAGTACAAGGAGAGTAAAAAGTAGAGTATCCAGAAGAAAAATAAGCATGAAAGAAGGTTTGTATTAAGTGTAGAGATACATTTGAATATCATATGAACACAGAAGGGAGAGGCTGATAAAGAAACTCTAGGATGGGAGGGAAAGTGTAAAAGCAAGTTCTTTCTGGGGTCTCAAAGTGATGTGATTGAGAGTGCAGGTGTGAGCAAGGAGACACTACACTGGAGACTG